AAATGCCCCTCTGCTCCCTTTCAGTACCCAGAAAATGTTGGTTATCGTTAAAAGAACATCAGGAAGAGCTAGAGCTATCAACACATTTTTTTTGGAAAAAACTACACATATCTGCGAAAAATAAACCAAAAAATACAAACCATTCAATTTTGCAAAAAAAACTTTTTCACTGACATGAGTGAAATTGCGCATAATTGCATTAAAATGAATCATTTTGTGAATGAACCTTTTTTGGATTGAGATGTGATGAATTGAATTAAGATGGATTGGATGATTTTTTTTTGAGATGTGATTCATTTTTTTGAAATGTATTTTAAAAATTAAGGTCATTGCAAATTTTCAGCACAATTCTAATAGCGGTATACCACTCAAGTTTTTAAACGTGATAGAAGTTTTCGGCAAGAAAAATTGTATGCTAGATCAATTCATTGCTGCTTCAAAGTTGTTTAATTCAGTCATTTGCTATGTTGAGGTTTTTTTAAAATTCAAAACATGTTGCCCTGGACTAATTGCAATTTTCTTTCTCCGAACTTTGTATTAAGTGTACAAAAAAAATAAGAGAAATTCTATTAACTTGCAATTAATCGCGTAATTCATCAGCGCCAGTTTCGAAGTTCAAAAAATGGGCTTTTTCTGGGCAGTTTTTGTTTAAGCTAATCACTTTTTTCATGCACAGGGTTCAATAGTCGAGTATGCGTGGTAATGAATTTACTGGTATTGATCATACCGGTATGCATAACCAATATGTTTTTGTAGGCCGGTATGTTAAATTTCACACAGAAAAAAGATTAAAAAAGGAAATAGGTTATGAGAGGAGCAGCGATGAAGTGGTTACGTCTTCGCCTCTCAATCGAAAGGTCGGATGTTCGAAGCCCACCATGATCCGTTTTTGTCGGTTGATGATGACACAACAGTGCCCAGTCCGGAAAAATTACCATAAGTTGCAAGTTACTCTTAGGCACGGCAAAACGGCGTCTCTCAGTGATGAGCTGAACAGTTTGTATGTTAGTCCTTTCCCGTGGGGATAAGTTTTCGTGAATAATCAAAAAGTCAGCTTTCGTTTGCTTGATGAAATTAAATTAGCATCAATTTATCAGTAGAATTATGGTAAATTTGAAAAAAAAATTTGTGGACCAGTAGATCAAATGTTGTGGCTAAAATGAGTATTTGAGTTGGAAAATCAAAATGAAAAAACTGTAGAATTTTTTTCAAAATAAAATTGTTATATTGAGTCACCAATAAATGAAAAACAGACAGGTCTTTTCTTTTTTCAGTTTTATGAACGAAAAAGATTTATGGGGAGGTTGTGATGCGTGTCTGTGTGGCAAGATAAAGAAATCAATTATATTTATATTTTCAAACAGACAAAACACTGTTTATCCCAAAAAAGAATTATTTTTGAATAGATGAAAATTCAATTTTGGTCAAATGAAATTTTGAACTGATTTCATTTTTCTAAAATAAAACGAGTTGTATTAAACTCGTCCTCATTGTCTCAATGTAAAAGCTTGATTTGCCGCTTACTAGTTTACCGGTTTATTTAGCCTCAAGGCTACTGCAAACATTCAAATAAAATATACAGCAGCTAGTGCGAACATTTGAGGTAACATAAAGCAAGGATAGCTGATTGCTGTACAAGTAACACATAGAGTTCTGACCACAAAATTTCACTATATTTTTTGTTAAAAAAAGATTATGTGTTCCAATTTTGTCAAAATTTGTCTGCGATGTGATGAAAGGATGAAAACAAGAGCCTTGAAACTAAGCATATTCGATAATCACAGCAATTTAGGCTGATTCGACAACAGTTTGCAAAAAAACAATTTTCGGTTTTTTGTCTCAAGATTCATTCCCTAGAAGGTACTTGAAAAGCTTCAAAAATGTTTTATACTGCAGTAAAACTAAGTTTTCGTGGCAAAATGAGTAACATAAAAAAAATTTCATCTCAATTACGAAAACGGTTTTTCTGAACACTGGCATTTTTTAATTTTTTCCAAATTTTTAACACATCCTCAATAGCGTTTGAAGGGTTTCAAAAAATATATCATTCGACCAATTCTGGCGGTTATTCCAAGTACCTGATTTGGACAAAATTACGTGGAAAAAATCAAAAAAAAAATTTACCAAAACAAATAAAACACTCCAAAAAACAAATGTCTTGTCCATTTTAGTGGTCGAAACTTCCAGACTGATCTGCTTGCTAAACTGTGATTTGCTGAAGAGATAATGCAGCTAAGTTGTTTATGTTCAAATCAAAACAAAGAGAGCCGTTGTTTTTGAAAGTAGCATAGCATGTTCCAACGACATTCATGAAAGAACTACCAAAAAAGGTTCAAATTAGTGTCGTTTTTAAAGCATGGTGTGTTTAGAAAACTAAACAAACGCATAGAAATTTAATGATTCAAGCATAATCTACATCACTTGTCCTCGAAAATTGAATAGAAAAAATTAAAATTACGACAAAGTTTAACGTAGTTCAAACACTTTTACACAAAACATTAAAATTTTGTCCGAAATTTTTTTTGCAAGTGAAGCGCGCAATCAAACATCAAAAAATAGCTTTCTTCTACTGAAACAAAATTTTTTGAGCCCAAAAACTTGAGTATAAAAAAATTTTTGTATATCGAAGGTTATTTAAGAACTTTATTTGCTCGAAATCAAAAACACTTTGAGCCCTATGAACAAACTTTGAAGTTGTGGGATGTTATTTGGAACCAACGTGAAGCGCTTTACATTGGTTTGTCATTTGACTCATTCCAATGATTTTTGTGGTATTAATTTTGTCTTGAAAAAAAAACACACCCGGATACCAAGTTCTCCCCATTTTCAATTTTCTGCAATTGTGCACGTGATAATTGGTCATATTACGCATTTAGCATCTTAGATAAAACCTCAAAAGATTAAACGCACAGATTTCATGAACTCACCGCAATTTCAAGATGCTGCCTAACACACTCGATTGGGATCACGTAAATTCTGAGATCGGTTCGCACTTTATACTTTTTAATTTCAGAAATCAGTCTCAAGAAAAAAATACTCGAAATTATCCTTTTTTCAAAGTTCTGAAAACACTGTCTAAAAACTGATTTGGAAAATAAAAGAAAATTTTTCAGTTAACTAGCTAAGAACAAATCATGAAGTAATTTTTTTGGCAAGATTTCATCTTTGTCTCCAACAAAAACTGAGAAGCTTTTGAAAATCGAACGGAAAAAACGGTTTACTTATAAAACCGAAAAAGTGAATGAATTAAATGAGACACTAGATTTTGTAGAGTGCTCAAGCTAAGCTAACGTCCAGCGTTATTAGTCCGACTTTCGAAACAAAATGGCGGATCGGGTTTCATAGTTTCATACCTTCTAAATCCTTTTCCTGGTTATCTAGATTTTTTTAAGTCAAGGAAATAAACTTTTTTTAGTTTGATAAATAATATTGATGTCCTTATTCCAAAACTAAAAAAGTGTTTCACCTGTTTGGATAGGTAGCTAACATGAAAATTTTGTAATTACCAATGCCCATAACTCTACTAGTCTTGCATTTGAGAAGGAAAAACAAGCGCGACTCAGAAATTATTCCAAATTTTAGGCAATTGGTCCAAATAAACGCTATACTAAACAAAAAAATTATAATTTTGTTGCTACATTTGTACTTAAATTAAACAGAATCGGGAAAATTAAAAAGATTGATTTAAAACTTATCATTTTTAGCCGAACACTAATAAAAAAAACAGATAATTTAGCGAGAAATCGGAACAAACTAGAAAACGCTGCTAGAGAATTCTTCTCGAACACTTTTGATTCAAGTTTGATTAACATAATTTTTGGTTCAACTTTGTTTGAAACAACCTTTTTAGATCGGGTTGGTTTTTTTGAATGCTGTTGGTATTTCTCTTATTTTTGGCAATTTGCAAAAATTAAAGGGTCTTCTCTCTGAGCCCTAAGCAATTCAATTTTAAAATCGAAACAAGGAGAGCCAGTTACTGTCCAAGTAAAACAGAATGTTCCGACCACATTCATGAAATAACTACAAAAACAGCTTTTTTCAAATTAGTTCAGTTTTTTGTGCGTGATGTGACGCCTAGAAAACACTTATAAAGTCAGAGAGTTAGGCCTATTTGACCTTATTTGTTTTATCATCAAAACTGAATGACAAATAAAAAACGATTCGAATTTTAAAAAAATAGATTTTACAATTTTGTTTGAAAGCTTTTATTGCCGAAAAGACCTAATTAAAGACAGACTCCAAAATTCGTTTTTAAATAGTAAAATCAAGATTTTACCACTCACTCGAAATTAAACGGAGACTTTCAACCCAGTTTTTGTTGTTATTGAAACATTTTTTTGAAAGGTCTTTTTTTTCTCGTTCCAATCAGGACTAGAATGGCATTCTTTTGACATGGTACTCGACCCATGCCGATGATTCTTTGAGGTACCTACTTTACCTGAAAAAAAAAAGAAAAACAATAACAGCCGGTTTCTGTGCACTAGCACAGAATTTTTTTTTTCTACGTGCTGTCATAAAAAACGGAAAATTACGTACATTTGACATTCATAATAAAATACCTAAGTTTGTCAACAATTTTTTTTTAGAAAAAAGACTAGAAAAACAAAAAAATCAAAATTCGACAAAACTTTTGCTAAAAATTTTTGAGTTTTTTGAAATTTTTGATTCCCAAAATGGCATTAAAAACTCCAAAAAAATATTTCGACTAAAAGTAGGCCTAAATAGGCTATTGTAAGCGTTTAAATTAAGCATAAATAAATCTGCTCGGTCGCTTTATTTGCTCGATTTCAGACCAAAAATCAAATAGTTTATACGGTTTTTTCTTGACGCTGAGAAAAATCACTGAAAAGGCTTTAATAGGGTATATCACTCAGCCCATTCCGATGATTAATTGTTGTACCTGACATTGTGTAGTAAACAGAAAAAAAAATAAAACACACCCGAATACAATTTCCTCCCCTTTTTCAATAGTCGGAACAACAACGACGTTTATAACTAACCGGTAGACAGTCTGCGATGAAAGGGAGTGTAAAGAAAAAGGTGCTGGGCGTTGCAGTCCTAATACAGGTGAACAGACAAAGCAACACGCCCTGCGTCACCAGACGCCAATTGATATCACGCATGTCAATCAGCTGTCAACACCAACTGTCAATCAAACTTAGCCGATAACTAACTCCTCCTCCTTCGCGTCTCTCAATAAACTTTGTGTTTTCTTCGTCTTTATATATTCTTTTTCTACTTCAGTTTTGTATTTTTCGGTAAAGAAGTTCTTTAAAAACTAACAATTAACTTTATCTGTTTCAAAGAGAGGTTTAGCAAGCCGAAGTGATCGTTTAACAAGAATTGAGTGTTGAGTAAACTGTCTTCACACGTAAGCAGTTTTTAGCTCGTCTTCTTTCTAATCCCTCGTGGCCGCTTTTCCACAGGTTGGGCAATGGTAATGATAGAAGAGTAATACACCGTAAGACTGAAGATTTGTTAGCTGACCAGCTAACTGACTAGTAGTGGCAAATAAAAGAAGCTCCGGTGCATTGGGCAGAACTCTCAGGGGCCCAACTGTTTCCTGAAAAACAAATAGCAAAAAATAACAATTGAATTGCAGATTTCAACTACGGACAGAACGAAATACTCTTTCAATGTAAAATTTAAAAATCCTAATATAAATTAAAAAATATAAATTCTTTTCTTTTGATGATTTTTAAAGGATTTTTGAAGTTGTGTTGTCCAATCGCTGTACCCCTAACAATATTTATAATAAAGATTCTAAAAATCTAAAATTGTACGAGTAAATTTGACTTCCTTCTTTGTTAAACTCAATCCGCTGAATGCACGATATCTTTTTCAGGCAAGTAAAATGCAATGACATGACTATGACTTTCTTTTGTACAGTGACCGTCTTATGGTCTTCTCATTTTGACCGCGGCACTTCTTTCTTTTCTCATCTTTTTTCTTTTTTAGTCTATTTTGTTTTATCTTTTCTATTTTCCCAGCCAGTATTTCCTATATTTATTTCCCCTCCTCTGACACCATGAGGTACCTTCTTGCACTTAATCTACCAATTCCATCCTCCTTTTTTCTGCATGATTTGATTGATGTCTTTTTGAGTGTAGTACTCGTTGTACATCTCTGACGGAATATGATTCCGCCTTTTCAAGTACTATGCGGTCTTTTGAGTTGTTTTAGGAGAGCTCAGAAAATCAAATCGGTCGACTTCTAAAAAATCAAATTTTTTACACTTGCTTGAGAATTCCTCTTGTCAAAATCCTGGATACGCCCTTGTATTATGCATAACCGCCCCACCCATAGGGGTTTATGCACGTGCACAATAATTAAATTCTGTTTTTTTTTAAGCTACTTGATGCGAAGTAAATTTCCTCTGTGATCTGCTTATTTACCCGCATCCCCTCGATAGAAATTGGTTTCTAATAAGGAGATTGTAAAAGATACGGAGATACAGAAATGATGAATGATCTTCGTCCAATTGTTGGACTCTCTTAAGTAAAAGTCAGATTTTATAGAGATTACGAGAACAAAATGTTTTGAAAAAATATTTAAAATGGTTTTTAAAATGTTTCAAGATTTGCGCGGCTTAAGTGTTTTTTTTTCAAAATGATCTTGCTTGAACCGCCCAATTGCTTAAGCCGCTCAAGCCGCATCCAAACCGGTCAAATTTGTTCAAGTTTTAGCAAGTACTGCCTAAAAATTTCATTTTTAGCAAGGCGGTGAGTGTAATTGGCTTAAGAATGCCTAGATCATTCAGATTTTACTTTGAAAATTTCAACTCCGATTCTTAGAAAATGAAGAAGAACTTAGTATTCGGGTGTTTTAGATTTTTTTGGTTTCCACGCAAAATCAGGTACCACAAATAATCATTGGACTAGGTTGGCTGATATATCATATAAAAGTCCTTTCAGTCGTGACTCGAATGACGTTAAAACATTTCCAAACAAAATTACCATGAGAAAAACCGGTTTGATATTTTGTGTTTTTCGTCTAAATTCGACCGAAGAAAGTGATGATAACTAGTTAAATTGGTCATTTAGGCTGAAAAAATATATATAAACGGAAATTGGTTTTTGAAGCTACTCTTGGCAAGAAATAAAAAAAAAATTAGAAAAATTAGGTTCAAAAAAATTTTTTTTTCATGTTTTTATTACTATCTTTTGTTTTGAAGAAAGCTGTTGCCGATTATGACTAATTTACTAATTTTTCACGCGTTTGAATAGTTTTATCATCACACCACGTACAAAAAAAACGACACTAGTTTGAAGAACCTAATAATTTGAAGACTTTTTATTTCTTGTTTTTTGGCTCTTTTTCTTTTTCCCCACCTGCAAATTTTTCTGAGAGGTTGACCTACTATTAATCCAACAGTATGAACAATTATTCAATTATTATTGTCAAATGTGAATGATTAATTTGGTCAACTGGTCCCGAACAGCTGTAAACGCAACTTTCGCCGTCACTTATTGATTTATCTCTCTGATTTCCAGATACTTTTTTTCTCTTACTTTTATCATAGCCTAGTTTTAGAAATAGTTTTAAGTTGTGACCTTTTATAAAAATCAAGTAACCCTGTAGCAATAGACTATTTTTACATTGGTGCAGACAAATAACAAAACAAACATCCGCGAGTGGAATTAACCGCAGAAAAAACCTCCCGTTCAATGGAAAATAGGGAGCGACTCATGCCAAATTAACCTCAACGCGGAAGATATTGCCGCTGACTCTCTTATCGCGGACTCTCTTGATGCTTGTAGGGAGCTACCAGGTAACACAAATACATCAGAGGAATGATGCCGGAAAACGAATGGCCATCAGCAAACAGGCGATAAAAAATCTTGAGAACAAACGCGAAACCAAAAATGCATTCTGTTTCAAATCAGATGGATGGCAATTCTCCACCATGGATGTCAATAGAAGCATGTACTGATATTGTGTACTGATGTCAATAAAAGCAAAGTAAGTAGTAACAAATATGTAAGAAAGACAAAAAATGGGAAAATCAAGTTGGATATTTGTCCAAAATTGATAAAATTGCTGTATTAAGGTCACTAGATTTCAATGAGTGAAAGAGAAAAGTGATCATAAAATTGAAAAATTGGATTATACTAAGATCGGAGAACCGGATGAATGAGTAAGACCTACAGATTCAGATGAACATTCAGTTTCAAATATCACCACCCTGCAAATATAGGAAATTCAGAAGTACAGAGAAAATTTGCTAACAGAACGCCAGAAAAAGAGGCAGATTTGATGTAACAGGGGGTTCAGATCCATAAAAAATTACTTCGGAACGGGAAACCAAAATGCATTCCTTTTCAAATCAGATGGGTGAAAATTGTCAACCGAAAAGCTGTTAAAAAAACTGTTTCAAAAGAAGCTGGCAAGTAGTAATTGAAAATGTTGAAAAATAAAATATTGTGGGCAATAACCAATTAAATAGTTGTTCAGTTTAACACGCGACTTGATACAATTGCCGCTATAGAGGCACCCGGGTTGAAAAAAATGCTAATCACAGGTTTCATTCTAATAATACACTTTTTGTGCAATTCCATAAAAAAACTGATGAAAAGTCTATGATTACCGATTTTTTTATATAGAAATTGTATGACTAACATGCCTAGAATTTTTCCAGAATTCAAAAATTCTATTTTTTTTTTAAATATAACGTTTCAAAATATTTGGGTTGTCTTCTTTACCGAACACAATTGACAAAGACCCTGGCTACTCAAAACTAGTGTCCCCAAAAGTTTAACGTTCTCGCGTTTACATTCAAAAAAATTTGAAGTGTTTTAGAATTGTTTTACAGAAAATGTCATACAGATAAAAAAATTTTAAGTTACAATTGTTTGCTTCATCAATCGATGATCAAGACAAAGATAAACATGGCACACAAAAGAAATAGGTATTTTGAGAGTTTTTTTTGAAGCAAATTATCCAGGGAAACGGAAAATGTCCAACTTTTGTGGATCCAGGCTACGCTATTGCACACAAAAGTAAGTTTTGCATGAAAAAATTCTTAGGAAAATGTTTGTTGGAGTACAAAATTTATTTTGCTGTTGAAAAAACTAGGAAAGTTTTTTTGGGGTAATTTCAAAATTATTTTCAAGATACATCGCTTTTTCAGCCAAATCTGAGAGTTCGATGACACCATTTTAGCAAAATGTATGGAAACTGTATGTCTAATATTTTTTCAGACTCAGTTTATGGAATTGTATGATTAGCATTTTTTAGTCTATAGAGGTCAAGCCGGGCATTAGACTTCAATGATTTAAAATATAGTAGGGATCAGGAAATAGAAAATTGGATTAGTCAGATGAACTTTCAGTTTTAAATATCACCACACTTAAAACCATTAAGCTGAAGAATTGAGTGAAAATTATCTACCATGGGTGAAGTGAAACCTGTACTGATGCCAATAGAATTATTGTAAGTTAAAATAAAACCTGTAGAAAAGCCAAATATATTGCGGGAAAAACCCATTAGATAATTGTCTAGCGTAAAACGCGTTTTGGTAAAACTGCCGTTATGAACGCCATTTAGACATCAATGAGTGAAAGAAAAAAGGCGCAGAGAAAAAGAAAATTGGACTGTACATAAACCAGTAAATATGATTCATTGAAGAAAAATGTCAGCTTCAGATGATTGTTCAGTTTGAAAAATCACCGCATTTAAAAACCCTCACGAAAAAGTGAAGAAGCTGACCAACGTAAGTCAAAGAACCTCTCGAAATTGAAAATGTTGATGCAAATGGTCAATGGAGAACCAATTTCTTTTCGAAAGGTTTCTTCTATTCACAACTGATGATTCAGGATACATTTTTATAGATTTACCCGATAGACGAAAAAAGGAAAAACTCTCATACTACTGGAGTAATTATCAGATGATCAGGACATAATTAAACGGTTAGATCCAAGACAAAGCTGAGTTTTCTCTAGCTGTGGAGCGGATGAGGAAAGGGGACGGATGTAATGGAAAGGAAGAATTGGAAGAAAAGAAACTGACTTTTGTAGTTGAAATTTACCTAGATATTATTCTCACGAAAGTTACAAAACATTTTCCAAACTGAAGGTCTAAGTCTGTCGTAATTTGATCACAGGAAAACGCTCAAACTTCCGCGATAACTTCTAAATCAATTCAGCTGAAAGACAAAAAAAATAAGCTAATTGTATACATACACAAAAAAAGCAAAATTAGGCGATTTTTCCCACAATTGCAATTGTTGGTACAATAGACCAGTCTTCGAAATTTGGTTCAACTATTGTAAAAAGTAATAGATTACTCCTTATCAATTCACGACGTTTGAGAATTTGAGCTCAAGACAACAATACCTTTCGGCTGATATAAAAAATACGACAAAAATGACGTATTAAAAAACCGAAATTTGTCTGAAGAAAAAAAACTACCCCGAGCACAAACATTCTGTTACTTTCGTTAAGAAAAACGGAACAAAATAACAAATTTAAAATGAAACAAGACTGCTCGTATCAAGGCGAAGCGCTGAATGTTCCGACTGCTTTTAAGGTTTATGGAGCACTAATAACATAAATATCATTAACAAATTAAACGTAGAATAATGAAGAAAAAAAATTTCAAAATTTGAAACTTTTTCCATGAAAATCATCCCCCACACGCCAAATAAACTACAAAAGAATAGATTTCGCTCCTTGTAAAAAATCAATTATGGCAAAAAAGCTTCTTTCAACCAATTTGGAACAATTTATAAGACGGATTAACTCTCCGCTCACGCGTTAATAGCGCGAAATATATCGCGCGTTAATTGTCCCAAATTAGCCAAAATGGTAATCTTTAAACCCACATAACTTTACGAAAAATGATCACAGGTGAAATATCTTTTCAAATTAGAGCTCAGGACAAAAATACCTTTTGAATGATATAAAAAATTCCGTCAAAAATGGCTAGTTAAAAAGTCAACATTTGTCTGAAGAAAAAAAAAACCACCCCGAGCACAAATATTCCGTTACTTTCGTATCGAAAGTCGGAACAATAAGACTGCTTGCATCAGGGAGAAGCCATGAATATCCCGCCTGCCTTTTAAGGTCTATGGAGCAATAACAACATGAAAAAACTACATGAAAACTGCAACACGGAAAAATTACAAAAAATTGCATGCGTATATTATCAACCGACACGCCTTATAAAGTACAAAGTGATAATTTTCGCTCCTAGTAACAAATCAATTATGGCAAATCAATTATGGCAAATCATTTATGCCATCTATCGTCGCTTACAAGCTTTTCGATTAAAAAATCGGATAAAACCTTAAAAAATGAGACATAAGCTTGAACAAGGAGAAATTTTTTTTTTATATCTCACAAGCTATGTAAAGAGCCAAGTGATTTAATTTGCGTGTTGTAGCGTATTAAAAAACACAAACTGCTTGACTCAGTTCAATTTGTAAGGATTATAATGTTTTACGCGTTACTGATCCCAATTTGAACAAGAAATTCTGTCAAAAATGACCGGTTTAAATCGATATTTTTCTTAAGAAAAAAACCACACGAGCACAAACATTCCGTCATTTTTGTTACGAAAGTCGGAACAAAAAAATTGTAGTAAAATTGAGCTGATGCGGAACTGTGAGCAAAATCCGCAAATTGTAGGCGGAATCTGCATGTTTTTTGCGAATTTTAGTTGCTGAAATTCGCTGCAAGGAGTTTTAGTTGCCTTTTTGCGGATCTCAATTCCTGCCAATTTAACCTCAATTTCGAACTCAATTCTCTACAAATTTTACCGCGGACTTCTTTCCGAGTTATGGACTTCTATTTGGCAACAGGGATTTCGTAATTCGGTGAGCAGGATGGAATAGGGGGATTGATAAACAACGCGATATATACACTGGCCGAGAGATAATCAAAAGAATGGCGGAAAACCCCCGGTGGCCCCACATTAAATTGTGGTAATTGATCCTTTAGGATCACAAGGAAAGAGCCCTAAATCAAAAGCTTTAATTTTGATGAAATATAAAATTTACCTTTTGAGTTGATTAAATATTCGAATTACGCTGGAAATAAACTTTGGAATCTATATTATTTTAAACTGAAACCATTTTGGGTTGTTGTTGGAGAAAGAAGATAGTAGTTATTTTTAAAAAAAATTGTACCAAATAGAAAGTCATATGATTGATTAATTTTAAATAATTATAATTATAATTAGTCATGCTTTGCTCTCGACCTTCAAGGTCAGTAACAGGTCAACTTACTTTATTTTCTTTTTGTTTCAACTTAGCCTTGTTGTATATGGAGTTTTGAATGTGACTTTGAATTATTTTAGATAACCCTGTAGCATAACATTAGTTTTACTATAGCTAAAGCTCTTTTTTAGTTTTTTGTTTAATTCATTTGCCGTTTCTAAAAAATAACAGTTTACTTAGAAAGCAAATATCTTTTCGTTTAAATTTTTGTCGGTTTTTAATTTGTTTGATCCGACTATTGAAAATTGGAACGAACATTGTATTCGGGTGTGTTTTATTTTTTAAAATGTTTTCCACGCAAAATCAGGTACCACAAATGATCATCGAAATAGGCCGAGTGATCTATCACATTAAAGCCCTTTCAGTCGTGATTCGAACGTTGGAAAATTTTAATAAAAATGCCCAGTGTCGAGAAAAACTGGTATGCAATTTTTGAGATTTAGTCTAACTTCGAGCAAGTAACGCGATCGAGTAACGCTCGTGATATGAAATTTAATGTTTGTTTTTAATTTGTAGAGAAAAAAATAATTTTACTACAGAGAAAACTAGTTTTTGGTGTTTCGTTAAGCGCTTTTTTGGTAAGAAAAATTTTTTTCTTCAAATTTTCAAAACATTGTGCAAAAAGTTAGAAAAAAGTTTTTAACTTTTTTGTTTTGCTTTTGCATTTTTTAAATTCATTCATGGAGATAAATGCTGTCAATCATGCCTCATTTTTAAATTTTAACGCGATCGTATTGTTCTCAAAACACTTTAACCACTAAAAACGACACTAATTTGAAAAAAAAAAATTATGATGAATATGGTCGGAACATTCTGTGCTACTTGCACAGCAACCGACTTTCCTTTTATTCATTTCGGATTTTTTCCTGAACAATTCGGTCGGAAAATTTTACCCACTTGCACAGCAACAGGTTATTCTTGTAATGACGTAAATGTTGGTGCGATGTTTTGATACGACTATTTACGCCTCAAAAAGAAAAGCGGAACATACCGTTTTGTTAAACGGCCATTGTTGGTAACTTGAGCAGTTAACTGAATGCGCAATTTGATAACTTAAGTAATAAATGCAACGACTGAGAAATTGAAAAAAAAACAAAATAGGGAATAAATTTTTCTTCGTCTGAAGTCAGAAAAGGATTTAATGTCAGCAGAAAAAAGATAGGCTAATAAGCGAAGGGATAATCAGCATTTTAGCTGCAAAATCAGATCCATGTTGTGCAAAAATTGATGGAAGTAGGCGGAACAATGGACATAGTCCGACAAACCACAACTTGAAGCAAAAAAAAAAGAATTTATCGTTAATTGGGTGCAAATAAAGAAAGGTCGCTGAAGGAAGTATGATGTTTGAATTTCAGAAATTTAAACAATCATTTAGTCAGAACTACGCGAATATCGGAAAAAGCCCGAAATGACAATAGAAATAGTGTAACAATCAAAAATTGATTGAAATGTATACTTAATCTTTCGACTTTCAAAATCGAAGAGAGTGTCAGTTCTCGGCTGAAAAATAATGGTCAGGGCATAAATTTGACCGAGGACAGAGTTAAAATTTAGCCGATTCGAAAAGGATTTTCGAAAAAAAACCCGAAATTTAGATCAAACATCCAACAATGCAAAATATTGAGTTTAGCTAAAGCTATAATGATATTCAATATAACTGCGCAATAAATGAACGAGAAACTTTTTTTTCCAAAAAAAATCATAGGGCCCACAATCATGCGAACATCTGACAGCGCAACTGATATTACTCATTTTTGTGCACTCTCATAATGAATCTTAATCTTAATCTAAATAATGAATCAAATCGGAAGTTCGAAAAAGATGCAAGATCCGCATGCAAGTAATTTTCGATGCAAGTAATTTTTGACGTATTGAAAAAAAAAGTTTTGGATGTTCACACTTTATCGAGTCAATTTTTTGGATGCTTGCATTAGTTTCTTTGGTTGGCTTTTTTGGATGTTTGCAATTTAGAAGTTATTACCGGATATTGGCAAGATGTTTACTATTTTTTCGAAACTTTTAACTTAATGACAAAACTTGTTGACTGAATTTTGAAAATGACGCTTGAAAAAATGACGGTCAGAAATGCAAAACTTTTTGTAACCAATCTCATTTTTATGGGTCAATGTTTCTGTTGCAAATTGCACAACAAGCAATCAAGTCAAGAAATTGTTTTATACCTAATTGATGATTTTCTCCAAGAGAACGGGCATCATAATGAGGTGTTTAACACATCTCAACCAAAAAATTAAAGAATTTTTTGATTAAAAAACTTCAGGATACGGAAATGATTTAACTCACAGTAAATATCTAGCCTAAAAAGGGCTCAAATTTCAAACAATGTGCTTTGTAAAGACGCACTAGGAAGCTTCCCATTTTTGGAGGCTTCCTGATTTTATCAATTTGGGCGCGGCGCTGGGTAATTTCAATTGAGTTCCTTCTTTTAATCTCCGGTTAAATAGAATATTTAATTATCTCCTTCGTAATTTGAAAAGAAGCGAATCCTTAGATTTTTTTTCAAATAAGCACAGACACATTTTCTTTTATGATAGCTACTAACCATCAAAGACTTTTATGCAGATGACATTGGTGTGTAATTTCACCTAATTTTTGAGGCACCATTACTCTATTTTTTGTAACTTGAATGAAGATGTCTCGCATTTAAGTTCTAATTTTACTTTAGAATTGTGGTAATTTCGGCTTGTAATGAAGTTAACGACTATCGTAGAAATGCAAACTAAGCTTTGAAAGAAGTTAAATAATCGTCATCTCAATTCATACTTTTTTTGCCATGTGAAAAAAATTAAGTCAGAATTGAGATTGTTGTAAGTTACACTTTTATTGGGTCTTTTTATTTATAAAAAAAATCGATCTTGACCAAAATTTGGTTAGTTTTTATTTATGCCTCAGAGGAATTCGGAAAAATGAGACTGTTAATTGATTTTTACCTCCTTGAAGAAATGTTTTGCGTTTTCTGCACTTTTTTAACAATTAGACGCTGCCAAAATGTCTGTTATTATACATGACATCAATTTGCGAGCAAATTTAACTGCTGTGATAATGGAGGGAAATCTTTTTGTTCCCTTTTTGCTTCAAATAACCGCAAATAAACAACAAATTTTTGAACCGACTGAAGGAGGTAAATGCCACCACGTGATCTAAAAAGGTACCTTTTTTCACTGCATGGTGTTTTATCAGGAAGCTTTCTGGTTTTTTAAAGGCTTAACCGCCTACTGTGACACAATACAATAAAGTGATACTTTCTACCTAAATTTAACTCTTTGATCAATTTTTGAACCAAGGAAGTGGAATAAGTAGAATGACGTAATTCATCAATGACTGAATTAACCGATAATGGCATGGCTTTTATTCCGTCTGAAATATTTTTCCTATTTTGGTGGTTTTATGTTCGCAATTTAGGAATTCCAGTCGTTTCTTTTTGTTAGGAAAAGACGCGGGAGAATATTGGTTTTTTTAAAACCTATTGTGATAAACATCATAAATTATGACAGCAAAAGACTCTAACTTTATCTCCTAGCAGAACAAGAGGAGCCGGTCACAGTGCGAGTAGCACAGAATGTTCGGACCATCGCAAATTAATTATCATCGCAAATTTCAAGATCAAGTTAGAAAAAAATGATAATAAAATCCACACCGTTAAACCCGCTGATATAATAATTTTAAGCATTATGATTTTAAATATTTATTTCGCAAAAATGAACAAGGAGTTGGAGGTGGAATTGAAGAGCCCGCTCTTTGCTAAATTTGCGTTTGAATAATCAAAAATTCAGGGCACAAGTATTAATGAAATCAGATTAAAGAAATCAGATTGATTTAACTTTGCTCTTCAACGGTGTTTTTCCTGATAATGATAGAAATTTTTAAATAAATTTTATAGCTTTGCTGTGCAAGGTTATAAATGCTTTGTAATGCTGTGTAAAGCTTAATTCAAAACATCCGTAAATTCTCAAAAGTGATCGAAAGAACTGTGTGGGCGTTCGCAGCATTTCTCCCACTCCAGTTAGGTACCTCAGAAGAAATCAGAAATGGTCAAGTGTGGCAGGCATATCGTTTAATTTTTTTAAAGTCGTGTTCAGATTCAAAAGAAGTGCTTCCCAAAAACTCTCTCAGAGCCGCTCAAAAGCAGTCTGAGTATTTTAATTTTCAAAACCATGTATATTTTTTATTTCCGTGACATGATTTTCCCAATTTTTATACCATCCTCGTAGATTTGAATGATAGATTGTCAAAAACTACTAGATTTGACAATGTCGTTTTAAATTTTGTACAACAATAGAAACTTAAACTTTCTTTGTCTTTGTTTGTTTTCCTTATATCTATTTCTTTAAGAATTCTATAAAAAGTGAAATGCCTTTGGTAGACTTTTCGAACAATATCTGAAGTTGTAAAATAATTTCTATTAATAAAAGAACCGCGTACAATTGTTTTTATTTCCAAAGTCTTTTTGCTTGTTGAAGATATTTTTCCTAATTTGTACCAAACAGATAAGTTGTTTGCTAAAAATGACGAAGTACAAAGCTTTACAAAGATATTTGGTTGCTTTGCAAGTAGCCCAGAAAGTTCCGACCACATTCACAGAAAAACAAACACAAAAAATTCAATTTCTTAAAATTTTAGTGTTTTGTTGTTTGTGGTGTGATGAAAACACTTTCCAAACGCGTAGAAAGCCAATGATTTAAGCATGATCGACCGGAAATGCCACCGAAAAATCAATCACAAATAAAAACGGAGAAAAAAACAGAAGAAGTTTTTAAAATGTTTCGAACTTTTTTCCGCAGAAAAAATTTTTGCCAAAGAGAAGAAAAAGTTTTTACTGCGAATGACGCCCTAAAAAAAATTCCACAACTGTTTTTTTTTCAGGAAAAATCGATCTGTTTTGGCCTTAACAATGAGTTTTCATAAAACAAACGTTACTCGACTTGATCGCGTTACTTGCTCCAAATTAGACAAAAATTATTTTAAACAGGTTTTTCTCAAAATTGAGACTAACTTTTGCAAATTTTTGAAAAAACCTCAAAGTAATAAAAGGGTTTTAATATGATTTATTTTTCGATCCCTTCCAATGATTAATTGTGGTACCTGATTTTGCGTAGAAAACAAAAAGAAAAAAACATACCTGAATACAGAGTTCCTCCCCATTTTTCAAATAGTCGGAACAATAATCCTTGCGTTGAGATTTTCAAAATAAAATCAGAACGATTTAGGCATTCAGATTATATTTTCAGAACAATTCAAAAAATAGAAAAACTGAAACACACCATTATTTGAAGTTTGTCACCATTTCAAAAATCGGACTGATAAGGTGTCATAAATTATAACATTTGTCATAAAGCACACTTTTTTTTGATAAATACATCAAATTGTTTTAATGTTTAAATACATTGAAAAACTTCAATATAGAAAAAAATAAACTGAAAAATAACCAAAAATATGGCTAAAAGAATCACTATTGGATCAGCCATTTCTTTTTAGGTGTATTTGGGCAGAAAAAAATTTTGTTAAAAGCTTCAACACAGTATTCAATAATTTAGAACGAAAAAAACCTCAAAATTTTAATTTTTCACAAAAAAACTTGGTGTCTGAAAAACAAAATGACGCCGAATGCATTGTCATAGATATTCATTGAAATTTCGTCGAAGTCTATAATGTAGCTGTCGAAAATTGTATAGTTGGGTCTATTAACTATTAAGCGAGTAGCATTTTCTTAAATAAAGTTGATAAAGTGTTGGACTACAAAGAATGAGTGGGACTAGCAAAAATATTTTTCGCATATTATAAGTAGTGTTGTATTGAATTTCGCTTGGTCGTTGTTTGGACTCCAAAAGATAAATTTCTTTCTGTTTTGAGAAAAATTGTTTTGATTTTAAAAAGTTTTAACTAACTATTTTTGCGAAAAACCGAAAAGTCTTCATTAACCAATTTTTTTTATAATTGTTCAATATTTTTATAGCATACAACCTGGTAGTCAATCGTTTCACTTTTGAAAGACATGGCAACGGTAGAAAGTGAATGAATATCTACTGAAAAACTTGAAATAAAGTGTTTTCTTTTTTTTACATATGTTAACTTAATTCTTTATGAACACTCCAAGCTATTTGAACAATACCTGGCTATCCTAACTAGCCAATTTGGGCTGAAATAAAATTTCAATTGTAATTTTCTGACCTTTTTCATATGTCGTAAAGTTTATGGGATGTTTTAAGAAATAAAGCGATTTTTTGTAGTAAGATAATCGAAAAGCCTTCATTTCAGAATGAGAGTGTTACATTTGTAGAAAATTGACAGCTCGAGATTTTATTTGAAGAACGTTTCTTTGCTAACATCTTTTAAAATTAATTATAAACGTATTCAAGCCTTTTCACCTGCTTAAAATAGCATCTGGCTATCATTGTTACGAGCTCATTTAAATGTCCTTTCTGTTTTTATTTCTTTTCTTGTTTCCGTCAAAATGTCGATTATATGACATTTTGAGGAAATCTAGCGAGCGTTTAATGGCCCCTGTTACAGTTTGTAATAAGCATCTGGACTTTTTTGTTTTAAATTGATCGTAATTAACTGTTTCTTATAATCCGTAAAACTTCCTGGAGAAGATTAAATTGTTTTAAGTTCTTATTGACATTGGAACACACTGGAGGAAAAACGGTTATTAAGATCTTTCATACAAAAAACTAAAACTAAGAGAACGAAAGTAAAATCAATATATAAAACCAATTCAAAATGTTCAATATGAAGGCTTAAAAAGAAATGCGCTTTAAATAAAAAGACGTGAGACAAAAGCTGCTTCCCAAAGTTTGAATTCCAAAAAGGTGAAAATAAACATAGATCCTATGTTGTTCTCACTTAATGGAGTAATTGAAAAAAAAGCAATTTAACAGACAATTAAAATGCAATGCTATAATGGAATCTGTTTGAAAATATACAGTCAAAATTATGAAGGAGAACGATTGGAGTGTTTTTCAGCAAATATAAAATAAGAGAAGACAAATTTTGAGAATTTTTAATTTGAACGGTTGATTCCTTTGAGACAATAGTGCATTGAGAATTGGTGAGCTTTCGAGAAAAAAAAAGTATGCTTTGACATGACGACACTTAAAATTTTAAGCTTTCTCCTTTGATGAAAGGCAATCTGACGTCTTCAAATATCCTTTCCCCGGCGGGGTTAGGGGGGGGGGGTTCTAGATTCTCTATTAGGTACAAAACTCACAAATGACTAGTCGTTGAATTAATTCTTCATGTGGGTGGCAATTCGCCACTAGGTGCCAAGGGCATAGTTAAGTAGATCCAGATTAACTGGTCTGCTAATTATTCATCTTGTTTGAATATCATTTTTATTATCTTTTATTAATTGCGTCTTTTCTAAAACACTTGCTATAAATATTTAGAAAAAACGCTCTCAAATGTGACGCGTAAAAGAGCAACCGGTTGATGTGCAAGTAGCACACAATCTACTGACCACAATTAGAAATACAATACAAAGTATCCAAATAAGAAAATGGAAATAAATGTAAAACCTTTGATTACTAAAGCGAAAATAACCAAAAGTATCCAATTAGCACAGTAGCGGTTTTTGGGTGGAGGCAGGGGGGACGGGACGCCTTTTCTTTCTTAGGGATTCGACCCAAAGGGTCCCCCTTTGTACTAATTTGTGATATCTATTTTTGGCGAGGTACCTTAAATTTTTTCTAAAGGCGCCTTTGGCGCTAATATAAGCAAAACTTTTGAGGGGGAAGGGCGTGCCCAAAAAACGCGAAAAAGTTGCCTGTGGCGCAGAAAATTTGGTCAAAATGGGGTATTTATCATGATTTGGATTTCGGAGAGCTCAGAAAATCACTTTGGTCGACCTAAAAAAAAGGTCGAGAAAATTTTCGAAATTTTTTTGAAAACCCTCCCTCCCCCATCTCGAGAAAATCCTAGATC